GCATTAAAAGGCTAGCGAACGCTCTCTCTTGAAAAGATTTATGAACATTCGACCCATAAAATGCGAATTTCTTTCAGCTTAATTTAAAACATCGGAAAATATCATAGAAATACATTTTTCGAAGTATACAACCCTATTAAGTTTCTTGATCTGATTTTGTTAATGAAATCATTGAAAGGCTGTTTATTATTCTGAAATAACAGAATTCAGATTTTGATGAATTTAGATTAAAATAGCTGGAGTTATATTCACGAATATACGGCAATGATAAATAAATTTGCAATGATAAATAAATTTGAAGTTTTGTTATACTTGATTTTACTTTTATTATGCAAATACAGAACATGTTTGTATTAGAAATTTCTGTATTATAATTTCAATAACGTTAAATGAAGAAAACTTTTCTTTTTCTAGTCCCATACCTATATGTTACAAGACGACTGAATCATTTCATCTACAAGAAAGGAACATGAACAGTTAGTTTTGTAAATATTTAAAATTTTTTCTATATGCGACGTTTTTGTTTTCACAAATAATCATAAACATTTTTCTAATAAAACGATTAATAAAGTTTGCATAAAATTTAAATTTATTTTCAAAAAAGTAAAAATTTGAATAAATTATTCATACAGTTTATTTGTTGTGTTCGCAGCCATACCAATTGCAATTGAAAATCTCATTTAAACCTGAATTTTTGTGTCGTTATCTGACTTTGGGAATGAAATATTTAGTTTTAAAATAAATAATAACTGAATAATATTCTAATTCTTTGTTGTTTTAAAATTATTTCACTTCTTTTTTATAAGGGTTTCTTGTTATTCCTAATATCAGAGAATCAATATCTTTAAAACTTCTTCATACATCACTGTAGGCTTTCAGCTGCCGATTTTGTAAAATTCTTTCATTATTTCTTATTTTCCTTAATCTCCCTCCCATTTATTATCTTCTAAAGTTTTAAAGTTTATGCTTCCATTTTTCCATTATCGCCTGAATTTTCTTCCCATCTAGCATCTTTAGGTTTAGCTAAAATATGGGCATTTATGATACGGTATTTATTATTATTACTGTTATTGCTTTTAGTCTTGTTCAGAAACCTAGAAACCAAACCGCCTAGACGGTTTAGTGGTTAAGGAAGCTTACTGCGGTATACCTAAGGGCCCGGATTCGAATGCCGGAGAAGACATGGACGCTTGTAAATGTATAGTGCCTTTGCGATACAGCGGCACGCTAAATATATGGCAAGCCAAAATTCCTCCCGTGTAGTTTCGTGATAGGGATCAGGGGTGGGGGAGCCTCAGACCACCTCCACCCTGGATGCTGTCCTTTAAAATTGGGGTGGAAGTAGAGGTCCAATCTCCTTGAGTCTCTGCAACCATTCTTCTATGAAATACATAGGCAAGACAAAAACAACAACTAGTAATCAATGATTAAAATCTTAATTTACTACTAGCATGTTTATATTGTTATTATACTATATTTAATCGCGAATTCTTTTTTTTTTTGAGTTATACGTAATCAATTATTGTGATCTTTGTTTATAATTAATATATTACATAGCTACTATATATATATATTTAATTTTGTTCATCTTTCTTAATCGAGACTGAAGTTGTAAAAATTAGGAGAATAATTTCAAAAATAAAGCTATTCTTGTATTTGCATTTTATATTATCTTGATTAGGGAAGATACCATTATTTTATGAAACAGGTTTAATATTTTCAAATTCAACGTACATGTACAGAAAGTACTATTTGAAAGTTTTTTTAGTAATAGTTAGCTCTTTAGTTCATTTAATTTTCTATGAAGTATGCTTGTAAATGGTAGAATATTACATTACCATAACAGAAGCAATTTTTTACATTTTTATAAGAGCTTTATAAAACCCGTTCTTTTTATGCGTCGGAAGTTACGGCGTTGAGTTTGTATAATGAGAAAACTTCGGGATTGTTGATGTGATTACTTTGTGATCACATGTAATCACATCAAAAATTCCGAAATCTTTGTATATTTTATATTATACCTATTTTAGATGTGATATACCTTTTATATATATATCATATGTAAAATATATATGTCCTATATGTATTTTAGTTAAAAATACATCTAAATACATATAGGCCATACGTATTTTAGATGTGATTACCATTTATAAGCACTATACATGATACAACACTATACGATTTTGTTCAGTTTTATTCTGTACTCTTTTAACCACTTCAATTATAGTTCAATAATTTCCCCCACTTCTATAGTTTCCCCCCCGACGCAGAGTCGATTTGAAGTTTCGTCACCAAAGCCACATATTTGTTCGGATTAAATTTTGTAGTAGGATGAAGTGGTTAAAATATTCTTTGTTAATAGTAATGAGAAGATGATGAAGTTAATGACATTTTATGCTGTTTGTATTATGTTTATTAATTCTGCACATCAGATATAATACTACTGCAGATGCTAACATACTAATGTTTTATATGCGATGTGACTGTATAGTAATTATTTGACAATCTTTATTTGTATAATGAGCCTAATAACAATTTGGTATTTCTTCCAATGCTATATTTTCAATTAGAGTTCTTCCTTCTGTTTTACTGTAGGAATTTAAATCTCGATTCTTCCATTGCTTTCTATGTAAAAATAAAACTACTAACAAATTCTATGATGTCTTCTTATCCTATGACTATCTTTCTCAGCGAAGGATACAATATAATACTGCGAGATCATCACGAGAAATACTTAAAAATGATTACAAACATAATTTCCTATAAATTCAAAATACTTTTAAAATGTGCATTTACATCGTAAGATATTCTTTGAAAAAATAAACTAAGAAAAAACATCCAAAATGTTTGATATTTTTAAAATTTATGCAAATAATGTATCATTTAGGAATTTAATGCATCTTTCTCCATTTTATCTGTTGTTTAGCTTGTTTTAATTGTGCTTTAGTGAGAATTCTTTATTGGCTTTCCAATAGCCTGTTCGGCATTCATTTTACGAATTTTTGCCCTGAAAACTAACGTTCATTTTAATTTTCGCTTATCGCGCTGATAAATTACATAAAATATCTAAAGATGATTAAGAACTAAAAGCATAAGAAAAATAGAGAACTGACCACCAAAAGCGTTATTACGAATAAAATTAAGCAAAATAAGTCACGATTAAAATACTTGTTATGATCAGCGAAAGGCAAAATCATAACACGCAAAAAAGATTTTACATCTAAACGCACAGAAAAGAACAAAATAATAAATATGAAATGAAAGAATTAGTGACTTTTGCTATAATATGCTTTTACTCTTAATTAATTTTTTTTTGTCTGACGTCTATTTTTTAAACTTTTTATTATAATTCTTTATATCCCGCATTTTCTATCTATCTTATTTGTGCACATAGCTAATGTGTTTGCTCTGATTCTGTTATTTGAATGAGGTATGTTTGTTTTTATTTGTTAACATTTTTATTATAACTTTTTTCCGCAGAGAAAAAGGTGTTAGAGATAATCAGATTACAAACAGGATATTAATTTTTTCCTGCATATTAAGACCTTTTTTGCTCTTTTTTCAACTAAAAAACACATATCTACTGTACTAAACTTTTTTTTAATCTTACAGTAACAACAAAATGAAATATCAATTTTTAAAATATTTTTTTTCTGTTTATTTCTGCTGCTTAATAACTGTTATTTATGCATTTAAAAAAACTATATTCTTTTCCTCGGTATTTCTTATTGATGCAGAAGCATGCAAATTCAGTTTCCGAAACCAATTACATGTTTAATTATGTCTTCTACTATTTAATTTACTATGAAGCATTCTTGTAACTGTTTGAATATTATATTATCATAAAGAAGCAATAAATACGTCCTTACAAGAGTAATAAGACTTGTTCTGACTTATGCGTCGGAAGCTTGGGCGCTCATTTTACGTGATGAGGAAGCTTCGGGGATTTTTTAGGGTAGCATATTGCCTTGCATACTGGTTAGTGTCCGTGTGAATGGATTGTGGAGAAGAAGATCAAATTTATAATAGTGCAAGACCTATAGAAAACTTGACGTAGTTAAAGTTCTTTAAACTATGGAGACTTAAATGATCTGGTCATCTGACCAAAATGCATGAAGGTCGGCGTTGAAGAAAAATCTTTCTGACAAAGCCCACGGGAACCAGACCTCGGCGTAGAACCCCGGTGAGATGGATCAGTTATGTTGAAAATGACCTAAACATTCTAAAGGTCAAAAATTGGAAAACAGTTTCCGAAAGCATACATGCCTGGAGAATTCTTCTCCAAGGTCCAGGGTCCATTCTCGGCTGCTGAGCCCTTCCTGTAATTGGCTTAACAGTTCAAGGTGGGCCCTGGCCTTCTGAATTTCACAATGCAGAATCGGAAAGAAGTAATTTCATTTGATAAATTGTAACCCATATTCCTGCGATATTATTACCATACTTAAAAGTAAATTGCTGTTTATTATAATATTTTAAAACCTAAGTGCTTAGTGGATTGTTTATAAACAGGATCATATTCATTTCAGCATTTGGTATTCATTTGTTCTATTTTATTTCGTAAAACTGATATTTTCTGCACAAACTAAACGACCATGCCTGCAGTATTATGGCAGTATATACATATTTTATAATAATATTTGTGCATTAATGCATCAGGTTTCATTTACTGCATAACAAATTCTAGTAATATTAATTCAGAAATCTTAATGGCATTATCTATCATTATTTTTACTCCTTCTCCATATAAGTATGATAAAAAGACCTGAATTTATATGCAATTAAAATATTAAATATTTTTTTCTTATTAATTACTTTCAGTTCAAATATCTGGAACACTGATTGTTCAAATATATTTTGTCACTTTCAACACTGATGTTCATTAAAAGACACTTTATGTAATTTATATAAATGTAAAGTAAGATAATTCTAACTAATTTATATTGGCTTCATTATAATGCAGTTAAAAATTACAAAAACATAAGATATAGCAAGTATTTTACCTCTACCATCTCCATACTTCTGCTGTTTTACAGGAGCATTCGTATTTTCACGCCTCTCCAAATCATTGAATATAGATCTATGGTCCGTTGTTACCGCAACTAGAGAAATAAATAAGATTTAGAGATAAATCGTAAAACTGTGATATGATTACAACCGAAATTAGATGAAATCGTTTTTTTTTTCACATAAACAAAATCATTCAAAATATACAATTATTAAGCTTGTGGTACTGACGCACAAAAAAGTATATTGCTTAGCATAGCTTGAAAACAAAATAAAACTGAAATATATGATAATGAACGGTACTTACTGAACTTTAATGAACGGTATATTATTGAACACGATATGATTACGTTCGAAATAATAGAAATTAATATTATAATATGAGCCAAGTTATATTATGCGCATAATTCAAGCGTTATTTACTAAGATTTCGGTTCGCCGTTAAACTGTTAACAACAAGTCTAGTTGCAAATTTTTAGTAAGGACTAAAGATTCTCATTCATGTAAAATTACATAAAATGACTACTTGATTATTAAAAGAAATATTATGTAAATTAAAATATCTGATGTAGAAACCACATGACTTTTTTGTACGGCCTATTAAATTATACACATTTTCTGCTGCACTTCATTTAAACGTTTTTCCTCGAATTTCATTACAGATATATCTATCTAATTCAATTAGTTCTCAAAAGGCAAAATTACAAAAAACCTCAAAACATCTTCATTAAAAATTGTAAAATGCAGAAAAACCGGAAGCATTAGATACAGTAAAAAACGATTTAGAGACCAACTTTTACAATTAAAATTAGAGTTCCTACGCAAAAACAAGTACTTCGTACAGCGGGCAGGCGGGCAATTATTCGTTGCACAAAGTTTAAAGTTAACTTTCAGTCTCATTGGGCAAAAAGGCTTTGAAGTTGGTGTACCAACTAACTTAATTCATTATTCTACTAAGAGTTTCAAATGTAAACAAATGTCGGCCTCGTTAGGCCTATCGACCCTTAAACTTTTAAATCGTAGATAATTCTATAACTATTGTGGGAAGATTAACTAAAGACATAAAATCTTAACCGGAATGAATATAAGAGCAACATAATTCAGTCACATTTAAAGCAAAAATTCACAATTTGCCATTATAAAAGAAATAAAAACTGAGTTCACAGAGCCGAGTAACAGAGCTGGAATGTATTGTACAATATATATATATATATCGTTGTATGATCTTAAACATTCATGTTGTATGATCTCTGACATTCAAGTTACTTTAAAACACAATTTTCGGAATTAAACTTCCGACATATGGGTTCACTCTTTTTTGATACTTCTACTAAATTTATATTAGGAAATAATATAATCAATATTTCTTTAGTAAACAAATTATATATTATATATATATATATGTGTAATAAATATAATTTATATATATGTGTGGAGCGGCCGATTGCAACGGAAAAGCAATGTACATAACTGCATGTTATAGCAGGCTCATATATAAAATTGCAATGCTCTACGTCTAATCTTTTTTGAGTTATATGAGATATATACATATGTACATAAGTACAGACGTTATGAAAAAAAATCTCTTCTTAATCTACATTAAATCCATTTTATAATCCGTTTGGGAAAATATGCTCCTTCTGTCCGTACGTACAGATTTCACGCCGGAAAAAAAGTCTAAATGCATTCAAAAGCGGTTAAAATAGATATTTTCATTGAAATATGACGCCTGAAATTTTTTGTGGTAAAAATCCTAAATTTAAGAGTAGGACGTTACTAACAACTTTAGATAGGCTTCTCTTTGGTTAGCTATAAAAATAAGCGATTTATAGATTATGACGTGTGTGAGGATCCATACATAATTATATCTGTAAATTATGCCAAATTACGAAATTTAGAATTAATATCTATAACATTCTCTTTAGAGAAGGTGCATTTATTGAAAGCTTGAATTTCTTCATATAATGAACAAGTTAACATTCGTTTAAGTGTTAGAAAATAGCATTAAATCTAAAATTAATTTACAATACATTAAAGTTAATACCGTATCACAATAGCTACACAATGTTTGAATTCCAAGTGTAAGTGTGATTATGGCAAAGCCTCGAGGGCTATCTGCCTAAGGGAAGGGATGCCTTCGTGGAGGACTTTCTAAAGGAAACTGGCTCGCATACACGTTACACATGGGGAAAACCACGCACGAAAACGCCCATGCAGTCAGCCCGTTCGCGGGATTCGAAACCTCGGACCGAACTACCAGTATTCAGCGACTTTACCGCTCGGCCGCTGGTGGGCCCCGTTTGTATTCCAAAGAATAAAATTTTCGCAATTAAATTAATTTCAGATTTAAGGCTGTCAACTGTTTTAAGACCTTTATTCGGCATCATTCGTCATTTTGAATAATTTACAATTAAGAAAAACAGGCCAAAAAAAAGAAAACCATTTAAAAAACAAAGTGAAACTGTATATTGGACAAAATTAAATTTAAAATTAAACTATTATTTCATTTTATTTTGTTCATATTTTAAGTGAAATGATTGAATTCAGGTAGTTACACATAATTCTGAATTCAATAAACAATTCTGATTATATGTATGGTAAAGAACATAAATACTTTACACAGTACCATGCTGAAGAAAATCCCCCCTCAAACATATAGTGTTTTTACAGTTATCTAGCCTATGGTAAAGTAGAATTCGTATTATTTAATGTCTTATAGGTATTTTGCACTGCTTTTTTACTTTACATCACTGGACATATGGAATGGATACCATATGCTTGACGGAAAACGCTTTCTGAAGAGGTTTTTTTTTAGTAATAACAGCTCATAGTAGTATTAAGTGAATTGTAAAATATAAAGAAAGCTATCTTACAACTATCTTCAAGTAAAGGATCATATTTGCATCACTAATAAATCAAGATTAAATCAATGCATTCAAATGCATAGCTAGTTAAAATCTTTTAAATGTTCTTTTCATGAATTTCACTGAATTTATTTATTATTTCTCATTATTTTGAAAATTATTTTATTTGTTACTTATTCACTCTCCACAAATTGTCTTTTGAAAATATACAATTCTAGCCTCAAAGCAGCTTATAATCCCAAAGCAGCAAGAGTACAATTAAATGTCTCTCTCAACAATCTAAACTTCAACTATTATGAAAGCGAAACGCAAATAAAATAAGAAGTTGGTAAAAATTATTCCTCTAGCATCCTCTGCGAAAAACAAAAAAGATAAAAATGAAAATGGATGTTGAGAGAATAGAACGCGCAGTCATCCGTAAAAATTATTTTGACTGTTTGCCACTTTCATATAAGTTCAGGTGTTTGGCGCTTAGCCAATTATATATATTGCGTGTAACACTTTTGCAAATTAGCTATTTCCTCAAAATGCAGTTTGAAAGCAGCGGAATCACGGAGAAAATAACACTCTCTGTAATTAAAGAGCCGTGCTCTGGATAATCATCATTTTTTAAAACGTAACATAGCCACAAACTCCATTTGTATAACCATTTACCAGACATGTTTGAAAAGAATGAGAAGTTTCGTTTCAGAAATGTTAGACTGTACGTCAAATAATTTTTAACAAAGAATCATTAGTACTAATGCAGAAGTGGAAATGGTTAAAATCTCTTTTAGAGGCCAAATAAAATTTTTAATAGTCACTTCATTCTTAATTATGCAGTAGCAAATGTATGGTATACTGATGAATGCAAGCGGTTTATTTGAAAAATAAAACCATTAATCTTGAAGTAATTTATAATCAATTCTTAAAAGAGTATATATGATCTAAACTGTTTCTTTCAAATTTTACATAGCTATGTGAAAATATTGATGTCTTTTAACTGCATGGGAAAAATTTTATTGAATTTTATTTTAAGGAAATAAACTGAGTAAGTATTTGCCATCTGTTTTCAAAAAGCTGTATTTAATTAAAACATTTAATTTAAAAGCATAAGAATAATAATGTAAGCTGTGGTTTTCCTTCTACTTTCTTTAATTGTGTTAAGTATAAAACTTAATAAATTTTTTCCCTAATTTCGTATATTTTGCATAATTAGTCTTTCTCAATGCTTGAAAATAATTTTTGCAAAATCGGGAGTCAAATTTTCAAAATTAGATATCTCGTTATTTACCGAACATATTGTTCACACATTTTTAGAACAAATTCGGTGTTGTTTAAATAGTACTTAAAATGTGAAGAGTATTTTTTAAACGTTTGATCTGATAACCCATTTTCTGAACAATAAGCATTTGTGATTTCTAAAATAGAAGCATTTTGCATAAAAGTTCCAGTGATTTTGATTTTCATTCCTCTTTCACTACTTTAAAGAGCCAATCAATTATAGCGAGTTTGCACTTAGAAAAAATTATTTTAAGAAGCTAAAGCCGCAATAGTCCATAGGTGAAACATCGAAGCCTTTGCATGAATAGGTTGGAAATATGTATATGCAATACCTTTATCCTTCTTCATGTTTTTAAGGAATACAGTGGTACATTTCCAAGTATGACTTGTTACTTTGTCTTGATGAAGTTTTAATCTTTGAAAGTCACTTCACTTTGGGACAATTGTAAATATTGGATATAAGATCTCTTGAGTGTACGCTGAGTTGACTTTTAACACTTTTCTTTTCAATCATCTTATTTTCCATTTCACCTTATAAGAGAATTCTGCGAAAATCATAAACCTACTGAAACTTAATTCAGACTGACGGAACCAAGTTTGCATATTTCTTTTGCTTCGTTTTTGATAATAAATGGACTTTCTTTTATTCCAGTCATTTAAGTAAGCACATTCTTTATCAAGGATCACAGTGTACTTCAATTTACTCCTTCTAAATAGTTTTCAATCAGGCTTCTTCAAATTGTTCTGTATTGAGACATGTTGGCTGATCATTACATGGTGAATATTATGTTTTTTTAGCTCTTTAATGCGTAAATCTTGGTTTACTATTTTATTTATTATTGCTACCGATGCATTTGAAGACTTTTAATTGATTTCTGGGTCGGCAAATTCTCTTTTGGTACCAGCGATTTAACTTCAGAATACATCTATTCTAAATATCTATAACCAGTATCCACTTCATTAATATCCCAGAATGTAATTTCTATATTTTTCAATTATTTGAAATTTATTCGATTCAATAATTCTTTTATTTCATCTGTTATAATCAAATTAATTTTTGTTTTTTAAAAGGAAGCTTACTGTTTTAATCTAAGCTTTTACTGTTTCTCACGTTCCCTTCCCTCCACGATAAGCTCTCTTAAATTCACGATTACAGTGCTGGTATACTAATGAGGGGAGCCTACAGCGGTACAGGAAGGCTCAGGTTTGAATCCTGGACAAGGCGTGGGTGTTTATAAATGTACATTGTCCTTATAGCATGAGACACTCTAAATGTGCGACGAGCCGAAATTCCTCTCGAGAGGTTGGTAGTTTGAGAGAAGGGGTGGAAGGCCGACACAACCGTATCGAGGTTGTTGTTCATCAAATCTGAGGGAGGAATTGAAGCGAAGTCCTACTGCCACTTGTATGGTGCTCAACGCTCTTGCAAACGACAGGGGCAATTATGCACTCAGACCATCATGCACAATCATGCCAGGATGAATTTCTTGGGTTTGCTCTGATGCTACTATCAGACATTTCAGATAAGTCACAACAACATATTGGTAGACATAGGCTCTCCAAAAAAGGTGAAGCAGATTTTTAAATTCTGTATGATAAATAAATTTCTTGGCTATGATTTTTAGAAGGTGCCCAAGGTGTGATGTGTAGCAAGGTAATCTTGAAATATCTAGAAACTGTACTCCGTAGTAATGACTTCGGTGAATTGGTAGGGTCAGCTTTATGCTTTCGTCCTGTACAAATACTGATTTAATGCCAATGGGAATATTTTTGTGGGGATATGTAAAAGCAAACCTTATGTAATCTGTTAAATTTCATGATCTAACCACCTCAGGGAAAAAAAATATATTTAACATAAATAGTCTAATCTCCACAGACTTAATTCTGTGTATGCGAGAAATAGACAACCGCTTTAAGGGCATGGCAACCAAAGGAGCTCATACTGAATTGTACTAAATAAATGGTAAAACAGAATTGAAATTTCATGCTTATTTTGGAACAGAAATTTTTAAACTGCTTCGAATAAAATTTCATTCTTAAAGGTTGTAGAGACATTAGGATTTTTGGAAGTCGGAGAGATGAAAAATTAGCAATCTCCTTCGTCGGGAATCGAACCACAGACCTCTGAAATACCGGCTCAGTGTGCTGACCACTACACCCCGAAGGCATGCTAGGAAGGCAGGAGAAATACCTTATAAGCTATTTAAAATAAAGTCCATCATTTTCGATGACCTTGAATGTACGTGTACCTATATACGCATGTATATAGAGGATATGAATGCTGGTATAAATATACTTAAAGAGAGATTGCTAAAGAAACACAATATCTATACAGTAAACATTTGTTTGTTCTTGCAATACCTTGTTTTAAACATTAAGAGCTATGCCACTATTATTCACTTAATAATGAAAGGTTACGTTGTCTTAATATCTAATAAGTTTTATATTTTATAAATTTAACACGGGTAAAGATTAACTTTTATTTAAAAGGGATAAATAGGAAAAATAAATATTTAATGGTGTTTAGATTCTAAAAAGACTCCAAATTTGAAAATATAACTGCATAAAATATGCTTCCAGATATATCATAATTAAATATTCATTCCTAAAACGATTTACTAATGTTATGAACTGGAATGTCCTCTTCTAATGCTGTAAAGTCCTTTAAAGCAGGAAAGCAATTTATTTTGTTTTACTTTCAAACATTTTAGATCTAAAGCTACAGTTTCTAAACATGTAAGAAACACATTAATGTTTCTTCCTCTAGACACTTAGAATGAATTTATATTCATTAAGGGTGTGATAGAAGAGTATGCTGTGAGAGAAAGATTATGTTTTTCCGGCTTAATTTTTCTTCACCTCTATTCCCTGGGGTTATCTTGGACAGAATATCAACGACATATAACTTACTCGCTTTAATAAACAATTAGTTTGATAAAAAAGGTTTCATCACTTAAAAAGTATAAAGCCCATTTTATACAGCCTCTTTTGGTTACATAAATATATTATGTTATGACTATACTTTTCATTCCTTTCAATTGTATTATTCACATAGAAATGAATGCTATAAGATAAACTTTCTGTTTGGTTTGGCAAAACAAGTCTGAAGTAGTTTTTAAATTTATATATTACTTTCATAAACCTTTAAAAAATTCGTTTCTCTGTAGCAAAACGTATTTAAAATAGGCGTGGCGTATTTAATTATGGCAAAGCACACGAGGGCTATCTGCCTAAAGGGAGGGATGCCTTTCGTGGAGGACTTTCTAAGGGAAACTGGCTCGTATACACGTTACACATGGGGAAAACCACGAAAACGCCCATGCAGCCAGCCCGTTCGCGGGATTCGAACCTCAGACCGAACTACCAGTGTTCAGCGTCTTTACCGCTCGGCCGCTGGTGGGCCTATTTAAAATAGGAAAACGTAACTTATAGCGTAATATTTTCATTTTAAAAGTTTCAAAATGAAACTCTTCTTTTGAAACATCTGAAAACTAAAATGTTCATAAATTTCTACTCTACACATGCATATGTATGCAACTAACATTTGGCCTTAAATACGTGTTTTGCTTTTGACATCTTTTATACCCCAAGTGACCTTTTGGGTATTCAAAGGAGTATTGCTTTTGTAAGAGATCGCAGTAAATATACCATCTAGCCATCACTTCAATAAATAACGCATCAACTGATCTTCAAAGGCGTACACAGTTTAAAACTGCTTTTCTATGAATATGTAAATTGCTACCACAAGGGAGAGAGAGCTCCCTCGTAACTCTTCGAAACTGCCGGCCGCATGATAATTATTATTCCGGGTGAACCTAATGAATATATAAGCAGTTCTCTTTAACTTCAAAATCCATTCGGAAAAGAATTTTTCGTTAGCTTACCTGTTATTACTTTCCTCGTTGGAAAGGTTGGCATGCCCTCCGTGACTGGCTTGGGAGGCGAGGGAGTGGGAATTACAGTCTCTGCAAAACATTAAAGTATGTGTTACATGAGAAAAGGGAAGGGGTACTATATTGCCTGTCTCCCAAAACTGGAAATTAGACAGGATAGCGAAGTGCATTGTTGTGTTTTCTACCACTTGTTCAAATCCGTAAAACTTCCATGCTCAGGTGCTAACTTTTCCATTTTCTATAATGTTAGATAATACGGACTTAATGTTTGATTTTGAGGAAAGTTAAATATTTATATGAACTGACCTGTGAAATAACTTTAGAGAGCAAGTGAATAATCTCGGGTATATTATTCAAAAAGTTATAAAGTTTAAAATTCGTAAACTTTGGAGAGAAACAACATTAGCAGAAGCTTAGCAAAATTACTTATATCGAAAGGAAAAAAAAATGTTAGATACATTGAAAATTTTTAAATTAATATCGAAATGAATATTTAAAGTATGTATTCTTAATATCAATTTGAGTTTTACTGAAACATACCTACCAACAAAAAATATATTCATAACATATTGCCAAAGATCAAATTAATTTTTAACGACTGTTATGTGTGCGTGCATACGTGTATTATGCAAAATAAGAATTTTAAAAATGTACTTTATTTACTAAAGAACTTTCGAAATGCCCTTAGCGCTGCAATATATATAGAGTTGAATAAAAATAAAGTGGTATAATAATAATTAATTCATTAGAGTCATTTTGGTACAGCCAAATAGATACAATACTTTTACAAAGTGATTTTACTTACTTTGCCTCCCAAACGCTTTAAACTTAACCAATTAATGTTACAATTTTCATATTCAAATAGTCCAATCAATACATTTCTAGAAAAACATATTTCAATACACAAGATATTCTAAATATTATGGCCCAAATAGAATTTCATTTAAGATATTTTACTAGGGAAAAATGCTTACGTACTAAACGGTTTCATATGTATATGACAGACAAGTTTTGGTGCTCTATAAAAAAAAGATAATTATATATTCTAAGCACCATAATTCGTGGGAAAATTAAAAATCTTTTCTTTATTTCTGTTTTAATTTAAGGAATCAGTAATGAAATATCAAACTCTTGAAACTTATTTAATTACAATTAAGATTTTCATATTAAAATGGTCTAATCAATACATTACTAATCAAATATATTTTAATACTCAAAATACTATAAATATTATGGATTAAATAAAATTTCATTTAATATGTTTTACGAGGGAAAATGCTTACATACTAAATAATTTCAAATTCATATGGCAGAAAAACTGGCCCAATCAATACATTTCTAAACAAATATATTTTAACACGTAATATATTCTAAATGTTAAGGCCTGAATGAAATGTTGGTTCATCTATGATATCTTCAATGGTATTATTTGATTATCTTCATGGAGCATAATGAATCGATATGATAACATCATTAATTTGAAAAAAGGAATAATGCTTTCATACTAAACAATTTGAAATTCGTATGGCAGACAAATTTTGGTGTTCCATAAAAAGCTAATTTAATAATCTAAGTTGATTGGGCCAATACTATGCGTATGAAGTTTAGGAAGGAATTTTAGGAGAAATCACAGAGTATCATATTTGGGTGAATACGTTAATTACATCTACAAATACCTGCATGTTAACATAATCCAATAAACATATCTGATTATGTTTAGATAACCAGATAAAACGATGGACTTAACAGATATATAAAATCTGGCTCGCTAGAATAGCTGAATGAAAGCAAACATAAATTACAGTTACATTATTAAACATAAATTCAATTATATTGCACCAAAAATTCGTTAAAAAATTATAGCATATTGAAAACATTTATATTATTTTATTGGTTTTATGAAAAATGGATTTTAGGGAATGCTGTTGAGTAAGTAAAACAAAAATTTATATGGTTTTTCTGAAAGTGTAAACAGGAAACTAAAAAATGGAAAAGACAACTATTTTAATTTGCACTAGATATGTCAAGTAAACTGTTTCATTTAAAAGCTTTATTTTTGAATAATTTTATCCTGGAGAAGTCAAAGGATTCATTCGTTCGTATTATTTCCATGTAATATTTTAGGATTGCTAAAAGATCTAGTTTTTAATTTTATTAACAGCTAAGCTTTAGGCTGCAATCATGCGTACCATCTCCTGTCTTATATCATAAACGTTCGCCCAAATTTCCAAATATATATATATTCAAATCGCCTGTTAAATAAACTGTGTTCAAAGAAATCTTACGATATTGCCAAAGAATACTAGATCCGCTTTGTTTGTGATTATCATGACTAGCTAGAGTTTTTTTTTTTTCCGAAATTTTAAATTTAATTGTATAAGAGATAGGCAACCTAACTGAAAATTTAGTTCGCCTAGGACCAAAACTATATTCTGAAAACTCTATTTTAAATTCTGTAATGCAAATTGCGGTTGATTAAATTTTGTATTTTTAAAACCTTACATTTGGTCATGTTTTCAATTAAGTGGTTTACTGGACGTTAGCCGTTGAAGCCACTTAGTGAAAATATGTGCAAATCTACATTGTTCTAATAAGAAATATAATAATTCAATTCAAAAGTTAGATATGTATCACGCTGAGCAGCCCTTACTGATGCTGGAAATTATATGCTTATACATGAGTAAAGATTCACTTATACAACCCAAAACAACTACCAAGTCATTAATGGATAAGGCAGAATATTCGTGACACAAATACCTTTATACCATTATGAATAAAATAATGATTGTTACTGACATAAGTCCCAATTAAAGAACATTATTAACTAGTCACATTATTTACCAGGCTATACAATGTTTATAATCTCTTCTACAATAATGAAATTGAAGAGCTTTACCCTCGAAACAGCTGCCTTGAACATGCTTAACAGAAATGATAAATCATTTAAATTTTATTAAAACGCGTTTATAAACTTACCATTCTCTTAAATTATGAAGCACAAATAGTTCATTACTAAAATCGTATACGTCAGCATTATAATCAAGCCTCATTAGTAGGTCCCCGGATACAAGGTCATTCCTCTGTGTCTTTAGACACAACCAATTTTAGTATAAACTAATTTCTAAGTAAATCTTGGGACGCTGCATCTGCTGTTAGCTCACATTCAACAATATAGGAAGGGGAGGAAATTATTCAGTCTCCAGAACAAAAAGTATTTATTCAAAAGTGAAATGTTTTTTTAACCTGCAACTGCATTTGTATATTTACTAGGCATTCATCAAAATAGTTAAAACTTGTTAATAAGAAGGCAAAATAGTCACATCCAACATCAAATTAAATTCCTGTTGCTGGCCGGAAACAAACGCGAGCTACCTATTTAGATACACTTATTTACTACCTATTTAGATGCAGAGCGATAAACGTATTGTTTAAATTCCAATGTGTCTTATACAATAACTCTATCGCTTGAATTCATATAGGCGGGGAAATTATTTTCCGAATTAAGCCGACTTTCGCCAGTTTTGTTTCGTTGGAACGAAAATCTTCCAAACGTGACTGCGAGGAATCTTCTCACTTCACAATAAAAACAATATTTTGAATAATTTATGTTTTCATAAATAATATATATATATATATCTTATTTAACAAAACATAACATCAGAAAATAGCAAATATTGGATAAAATGGAACCTTTTAAAATAATTTTAATTCCAAGGAGAATTGTTGTTTATATTTTTGTTTCATTTATTTTAGAATTTTGATCATTTAATTAGAAAAGTTTTGTTCTTACAGCTCCAGGTAACAATCCGTTAAGGATTCTTTCCTGATCCCAAAAGTGACCTCTTAACGAGGTTCGAACTATACTCTACTATACAAAAATCAAATTACATGTTTGACTCATGTTTGAACAAAAACTGAAAAACAGAGAAAAAATATCTCTTACTGAATAGTTTTATTGAACCTTCCGTTTCACTGATAGCATTCTTTGCCACACACTGATATGATCCATAGTCTTCCGGTTGTAAATTCCTAATAGTTAATTTCATATGGGTTTCATAGGAATTCCTCTCTATGTGTGTCTGGTACCTAGAACTTTTGCTGACAAAAGGTTCACCATTTCGGAGCCAGAAATTTTCCGAAGTTGGGTGAGCTTCTGTGTGACATTCAAGGCTAACATTAGTGCTTTCCTGAGCACCGACTAATTGGTTGTGTATCCATATGAGGGGGCCAACTGAAAACAGAAATCAAATCTTATCAGACACATTGGATAAATTCACAGTACTCCAAGTAAAATGTACAGGGTGTCCCATCAAGACCGTTCAAACTTTTCACAACCAGCTTTCCTCGTTTGGAATATATAAAAAATGCTCAGAGAGGTACATTTTTACAACCCGTAGTTTTCAAGATAAATGCGAAAGAAGAGTATGACTGTCATATCCATCACATCTACTGTAGTCCTGCATGATAAAGCAACAATACATTTCTGCGGGCGCTTCTGTACACGATTGGCTGGTTATGGGATATATAAGCCGCTGAATCGAGAACGGGGTCCGGTTTTATGACCACTATGATCGCCAGCTCTGACATCTTCGTATTTTTTTTTCATGAGACCCATTTAAAAGAATTTGTCTGCCGAGACTAGGTTACTACAAAAAGTGACTTAGTTGCTCGTTTTCATACTGCGTGTGCTTTGATGGATACCATGCTTCTATAACGTATGCAGTCAGCCATTTCACAGTGCTCACATACATGCCTTGATATGCGCAATGAACATTGTGAACATTTTCATATGTAAACATATGCAAATACTGATATTCATGTTTGCTATTAAAGGTTTTCTTTTCCTTTTGTACCGGATATGACGTCTTACTTTCCTTTCACATTTATCTAAAAAACTATGAGTCGTATAGTTACAGTTCTTTGTACACTTTTTTTGTGTTCCAAGCAATCTGACTGTGCAGAGTTTGGGAGGTTTTGTGGGACATCCTGTATAGGACATCCTGTATATATATACATGAAATGTTTCATTAAATTATATACATATTACATCTTTTCCTTTCCACAATACGTGCGACCTTTACGTTTTAAAAATATATGTTATTTCATTAGTATTTCACTTTAAAAAATATTAATTTAATGTGATATATTTAAAATAATAATCACATATTAATTTAATGTGATATTTAAAAAATATCGCATTAAATTAATATTTTCTTATAATTTCCTAGGAGATGATCAAATTGAAATTATTTATTAATATATATATATATACACACAAAAGTTGTAGAAATTTCAAATTAAGATGATATATGTTCTTCAAGTGGTATACTGAGAAATGAGCTAATTAATCAAGAGATAATAAAAAATCAAAATTAAAATATGAAACGTGGGTTACCTTTTAACAGAAAATATACATATCGGAATTAAAATAGGAACAGAAATAATTCAAAATTTAAACAAAACAATTTAATAAAACTGATATAAGATATAAAATAAGTTGTTGAAAATTACTTTTACTCCAACATTTTTCAAGATGCAGCGTAAGAATTTTCAACAGAGCAAAGTTTTTAAACTATAGCTAGATGATTGTTAATACTGGAAACTTTTATAAGAAATAAATAAAAAAAGACCGGTTAAGATGATTTAGTTAAAATTAAGCTAATTAAAGTGCTTCAAAGGTGCAAAAAATTTAAAATATTTAATTTAATTAATCGTCAAGATATAACCTGCTTCTACGGTACCCGAAAATAAGAATTATAAACACTTTTAAAAATAAAAGAATTAAAAACACCATAAAAATATCTAAGCCAATATTAAACTTTCGAGTAAAAACCAGAATAACTGATCTGTAATTCAAAAGTTACTAAAAATACGAGAAAAATAAATACTGAGAAAAAGAACATGCTCATGTGCTCTACAAATATTAATAAAAATTTGCTAAATAGATATTAATTAAATTTCAAATAAAAAAAATGCTACAGTAATTAACGTTATTTATTTAAAAGGTATTTTTTCTAAATTCAATATTCAAATGCATTTTCAAAATATATAATGTTAGCAATACTGTTGGCAAGAAAATCTTTAAATAGGTTTCAAATATCATTTAACACCTTGAGTGGAAGATCGTTTTTATTCGGGCATGAGATTCCTTGTGATTTAGTATATATTACCTTATCATATAAAATACTTTTTTAAAATTTTCTTCAGAGATTTAAATTTTATCTTAATGAATAAAAAGCTTATAAAACGAGGTTAAAATAATTAACTGTACAAATTTAACAAGTGAATGCTGTTCAAAGACAGTTTAACATTTCAGACAGAAACAAACTACGCCTACTGCGCCTTTTCCAGTACTAAAATCATTCATAATTTTAGAAAACCTAGAAATTCAATATTTAAAATACAATAAATGGAAATATAAAACAGGTACAATGCGGAAAAAAATGGCAGATATAGACAATTTAACCGATTGGTGTTAAACATTGCCATGTTTGAAAGCGCGAGGAAGAGATATATAGATTAGATTTATAGCATCATTCTACATTGAACACAAAATTTTTTGATGCAAAATTGAATCTGAAAATGACATGTTAATTTTTTTCTATATTTTGATTCTAAGACTAAAATTATGCCTATATTTTAAATTTCATAAAGTTTGGTGCGAAATTTAAGGAGAAATTTAAAATTTTTAGTTTTCATTTCTCCGGGAAGAATTGGCGAACTTTTTTAGCAACCTATTTCAAGAATTTCATTTGGAAAGGAAAGAGGAAAAAACCTACAAATTTAAAAAAAAAACAAAAAAAAAACAAAAAAAAAAAAAACTTGAAAAAAAACATTAAAAACAAAAAAAAAAAATTTTCAAAAAAAAAAAAAGCCATTGTTATTTTCAATAATTTTAACAAAGTGCGCAGATTATTGGATTACCATAAAGGGAGAGATGGCAAAATTTCAAAACGACCCATTATGCAAATTCGTGTATATCTTAGAAAGTTTTGAACAAAATCTCTATTGTTTTGCAATACCCTAGAAGTATATCTACTTTAAGATGATATTAAAAATTTTATAGGTTTACAAAATATTTTTAGAAAAAGTAATGAAATATATTTAAAAATACAAATTAAAAAAATAATCATTAAAAAATGTGCGAATTATACTTGGATTAAGTCTAAATTTCGAATTCTCGAAGAAGGAATCGAGTAAGTTTAATAAAAATAGAGATATTAATAAATTTATATCAAATTCAATTAACATTGAAGAGCTAAAATTTTGAGAGCTAATTTTTTTACAATCTACTCTCGCGAGTTTTACAGAACTTGGCAGTTTGTCATAATTTGAGTCGTAGAATCGAAATATGAACAGCTATCGGCACATCATTTCAGAAAAAGTCCGATTTTGTGTCAAAATGCATGTATTAGATCAAGGCGATATATAAATCTACTATATATCCTAAGTCGCACTTTCAAGATATGAAAAATGCAATTTGAATTTCGTCAATCGGCCCAGTAGAACGAGAGATACAAAACTGCCCCACTTTTTTTTTCGCATTGTACATCCAGAGAGATGTACAAGTGCTATGGTTTTCAGACATTATTTTTACATTATTATACTTTAGATAATTTTACAAAGAATCTGTGGCTCTAACGTATTTGACGTTTGCTCCAACTTTGCTGCTTGACTACAACGTATTAATAATCCAATGTATTCATTACTCATAATGCAAACTATAAAGAGATTTAACTTCGAAGAACATTTCCGAGAGTTTAGACAAAATACATTCCGAAAGTTTATTTCTGCTTTAACTTTTATTTGAAAAATGTAAAACGGATGGATATGAGATATATGATATTCAATGGATTTGCATAGATCTTACGATACCTGATACATCAGGCATAACATGATTGAAGAAAAATCATTGTCTGTATAGAATACTGCTATCTGAATCATTTCTGCTAACAGAATTTAATAAATGTCCACTCTATCTTTTATACTTTTCTATTTTAACTTAGATTTTCAAGAAAACAATTCATATTTTATGAATATTGTTTTGTAAATAATATTTCTCTGAAGAAAGTCATTCCTGTAAATTTTGTAGTTTATATAGGAAGTACAACAGAGTACATAAAGGAATCTTTTTCAGATGGAGATTCTTAACACCACAATTCATTAACGCAAAATACGAGAAAATTCAGTTAATTATTTGTTTGGTAAATTTGCGATTCGGGCAAAAATGCACAGCCACAAAATAGGATGGAAATCGATATATATTTTGGTACAAGATCGTATTCTCATTACATTTCATCTTCAACATCGTAGAACGAATCATTTATCCTTGTACCGTATGTCGCTGAAAGTGAATAATATATTGCTGCGTAGGTTTAACATCTAATCCTCAGAATTATATTTAGTTTTTCTTCTTACGCTATGGATATATCAGATTAAGCGTCATATATAAAACATACGTATCTGATCAGATCACCTATCCTTAAAGATATTCATGAAACAAATATGAGCAAAATTTACTAATAAACTTAATTGCACATAATACAAACTTTCAATTTCAAAAGAATTTATATAGGCTTAATTATAATAAATATAAAAACATTTCATAATCACGCGTTTGCATGTATGTAATTTTAGTGCTCTGTATAAGAAAAAAAAAAAAAAAAAAAAAGAAAATGGAAAATTATAATTCTAAATGTGAGTTAAGCAATTTCATTTTTCAGTAGATTTAAAAATAATCGCAATAAAAATCTTTAAAAGTATTTTTAAAGAAATATACATTAAAGACAGCTGAAAAATAATTTTCCCGTGCTCTGTTTAGAATTAATGAAAACACCATTCCTAATTTTGTGAGAATGTATTTTATAAATTAATTGTAAGTTATTCAAGTCAAACTAGAAATAGCGTATTTAGAGGAATATTTCTGAAGTATTTAAATGTCTCGTTAGAATTTCATGTCCACGTGCATTAATCCACTTCGCAGATAAATGTATTTTTTAGTTTATTGTTTCACCATAATGGATTTATTTCAGAAGTATTTTTATGTTAACCGGGAAAAAAAAAAAAAAAAAAAAAAAAAAAAAAAAAAAAACTCGTTTTTATTATTATTTATTATGCAATCACCGTTAAGTCTTACACAGAAAGAGAAGGGATACCCCGCTAAGGTGTTTTCAAAAGAAACCAAACTACCAGGGGTCAGTGGCTTTTACCGGTCGTCCGCTGGAGGGCTGAAGATAAAAGTTCGTACAAAAAATCTGTTCAAGACATCTCCGATTCTCTAAATGAGTTCTCACATAACAAACG